ATCATTTCTAAGTTTTGAACATATAAGGATTTAATGTGGAACCATTTAGTGGAGAGAGAATGAGAGAACTAACAATACCATTCAATGGTATTCTGAGGTATGAATATGCGCATATTTCAGAACTAATGATCTTAAGGAGGAGAAATATTTGAAATGGAGACTCACTTTTGAACGGTTTTCTTCAATTCATCAATACGATTCTGCAAATCATTCTTTGACTGTTTATGTATTTTCTTTAGCTCATTGACGTTTACTTCTGACTTCTCAATCGTATCATCCAATTTGTCTTGAAGCTTCTTGATTTGTTTATCTTTATCGCGACATAACTCCGTCTAAAAAGCGAATATATCTTTGAAAATAAAGTTTCTTGAATTCTTCAAATATCTATTCTTGAATACATTTAACGCCGCAAAATATCACCCATACAGTGGTGAAACAATGCCAATGGCAATCGATGAACATGATAAATCATACTCAGATGTTATTATGAGGTGCTCATATACTTTAAGATGCAATCTATCAAATATACTATAAAAAATTTGTAGAACAAAATCATGATGAACTAACCAAGTTGCCNTCAGTTTCTGCTCTTCTTCGAGCCTTCTTCTCAGCGGCTATGAGCGAATCGAAATCTCGAAATTTCTCCTGAAAAATTTTCATCAGCCATATGATTCAAGTTGTGGCTGAAATCATAAGTTGAACGTATGTGAATAAGCGAAATGATACGATGAAAATTACAGTAAGTTCGCAAATGTTTCGTTGAAGTTGGTTGATCTTATCCAGTTGTTCCGCGTTCTTCTCATTCATTGCCGTCTTGTCAGCTTCTAGTCTAAATTTGCTTATGTCCAATATGAATCTGATTCATTACTCAAACAATTCATAAAATCAATCCTTAAAAAGGTGATGCATATAAAACTTTCTCTATGAAAAAAACCAATCACGAAACTTTGTTAACTGAATATTGATGAGATCATATTTGGATCAGAATATCACTACTGTTCGTTTATTGACTCATCGATCCGCTAAGCCAAACCAAAAAAATCAACTAACTTTTCCACTAGGCCCTTCTCCCGTTCCCTTTCAGCTAATAACGCGTCCAGTTTCTGTTGTAATGCGTTCGCTATTTTCTCGTTCTTCCCGAACTCATGCTCCATATCCAATCGCCTTACATTCTCCCGTTCATACTTCTCTTTCCACTGAAAATCGCTACATCAACACTCAAATTATCTACCACAACCGGCACTTGATCGTCGCGTTAAAAGATGTTCCGTCAATGAAGTTCAAATGGAATTATTTTCAAACTGTTGCACTCACCTTGC